CCAGACTTGCATGTCTTGGGAAACCGGTCGACCCCAGCCGGCTGGAAAGTAAAGACTCTGCTTGATTTTTACATCTCCAATCCCATGTATTTGTTATCTGGAGGGGACCCATCGAGTCACGGACCCTAACACAAGACACTCCCTAAATAATTACACAGGCTTTGTCATAGGCCTGATTACCTCCCAGAACTTCAGGGTAAGAACCTACTGCTGAAGCTAGAATGTAGTTCTGTCACAGGATTTGGAGCAATGGAGCTAGAACTGACCTGGAAGCCACTTACCCTGAAGGCTAGCTCTCAGAGCTTTGCAAAACACTATGTAAAGTGCTAAGGAAGAACATCAATCAATGGTCCAACATCAAGACCAAATAACTACATAACTTTCCTGCACTGCATATGACATTGGTGCAGTAGTAGCACTTTTATCTTGGGGACAATCAACAGTTACCTAATTGGACTAAAAGCCCACTCAATGGGAGGAAACTCAAGTGTGGAACTGTAAACATAACCAAATACACATGGCTGGAGAGGTCATAGGTCTTAGAGAAACCCCAAAACCCCAAACTGTCACATCCCTAGACTAATGTAATTTCTTACTATGTGAAAAATATGTATCCTTATATTTACAGACAAATATCCCAGTCACTACTATCAAAGAAGCTTCTTTTGCACCAGATGGAGACTATTACAGAATACCACAACTGGTCACACACAGACATTGTGTGTGAATTGCCCAAGTCTAAGTGGCACATCCACAATGCAACATCTACATGTAAGGCTCATGGAACATATCCAAGAGGTAAAGAAGACAATAATGAATATCTCAGTTCTCATCAATGAAGCTCCCTCATGCAACAGAGGGCAAGAAACATAAAAGGTCACAAATGGCCAAAGTGTAGCTATTAAGAGTCTGCAGAGTGCTGGTCCTTGGGCAGGACTCCTATATAGAACTATACCCACCCAGGGCTCAGGGACCATTGTGGAAGAAAGTATAGAAAGATTTTAAGAGCCAGGGAAGAGGTACATGACCATATGGAAATAGAGTCCCACAAGCTCCTGGGACCCTACTCTTATGAACTTACAGGATGTTGGTATGCATAAGACCAATGAAAACTCAAACAGACAAAACCCCAACTGGGGAAATGAACAACAGACCCCAATCTTGGCTGAAGAAATATTGTCAACTGATTACAACAGGGTGAGGAAGAGTTGATCTTCCTGACTCGAGGGATTCTAGATAGGCTGACTCTTGCACAGAGGGTCTTCTGGGGACACTAACTTGACACAACAGGTTTTAAGAGAAATGACAGAATGCATGAATTCCAGTGGGGGCGGCTATGAGAGGGTGTCAGTGGGGAAGGGGGTACAAAGATGATTAAGATTGATTGGGATAGTGTGCTGGTTAGCTTTAGCGTAAACTTGACACACCTGGGTTGAGGGAGCCTCAATCTGGGAATTGCCTCTATTGGACTGGCCTGTGGCCATGTCTGAAGGGCAGCTTCTTGATGAGTAATGTGGGAGGGCCCAGACCACTGTGGGTAGTAATACGCCTGGGCAGGTGGACCTGTGTTGCATAAGAAAGCAGGCTGAGCAGGGGCCAGGGGAGCAAGCCAGTAAGCAGTGTTCCTCCATGGCCTGTGCTCCAGCTCCTGCCTCCAGGTTCCTGCCCTGAGTTCCTACCTTGGGCTCCCTGATGAACTGTGACCTGGGAGTTGTAAGCTGAATAAACCCTTTCCTCCCCAAGTTGGTATTGGTCAGAGTGTTTTGTCACAGCAATGAAGAACAAACTAGGACAGATGGTCTGTATAAAATACACAAAAATTTAGTAAATTAAAAATAAAGATATTCACAGAAGAATGCATTAACTATTGCTTGTTTGCACCCAATCCATGGATCCAAACAAAGTCAATCTGAAATGAAAAGATTTAATTTAACACTTGCACTGATTTATAACGTAGCTCTGCTATATGTTAGCTGTATGATTTCAAGTAAGTTACTAAAGTTTTAAAATTTTTGTTCTTATATAAAACACAGAAAGCAACAAAGTTCTCACACATTTGCATAAAAATCAGTAAGAAAATTAGTGTCTTACAGATCTTCCAATCTCTGCTCCTCACCTCATAAAAGTTATGTTTGCTGGTATAATTATTTCAAAGAATCTTTAAGTCTTAGCTGTTTTCTCTCCTTTGATTCAAAAAACTAATGTCAGCATAAATTAAAAAAAAAAGTCTTTTCTAAACTTAATACCCCATTGCCCAAATCAGACAAAAGACAGAATACAGGTTCTGTAAAGAACTCACACTTTTCTTTCTTAATCTCATTTTTTCAAGCCATTTAGTATGAATTGGGACATTGATCATAAAAATTTCTGTATTTAATGTTTTCATATGTTTCCTGGTCTGTCTGGTATCCTCTGAGGGAGGATGCTCCAAATAGGAAAGAATTCAAGCTTCCTAAAAATTACAGCAGCAACCTAGCAACTCACACAGCCTATTTTGGACCACGGGATTGTTCTGGAGATTGAAGAGGAATCACACTGCCCCCACACTTCACTAGTCATGCTGCAGAGTGTCCACAGAGAAAATGCTCACTTCCATGTTTATTCTGTGATTTTGCCACCATTGCCTCTGCACCACTGCTATTTTCTTTTTACCACATCAATTAATGGTATTCTTTATCCATATGCGCAAAGTTGTAAAGTCAAGATGTGCACAGGGGCACAGTGATTTAGTTTACTAAAATGTTTGACAAAGAAATTTTAGGTAAACAGAAAATGAAGAGTTAAATTGAAGAGTTAAAATCTTATTT